GACCTCGCGCTGCTGGAGGAGCGGCAGGGGGAGAGAAAAACCCCTGTTCAATACCTGCTGCTACCAGTGGGAATTGCTGTGAGCACCCAAGCCAAAGAGGCAGGACTGTGGAGGGAAGGAAAAACTGATATTCCTGAAGGCTTTTCCTCTGAACCTGATCACAGAACTAACAACTGATGTTCTCGTCACGTGGATTCCGGGGAGTTTGTGTTATTTAAATAATTACCAACAGTAACAGGAGAAACAGGAACCTTGATGCCAAACCTCTGGAACTCTGTCATTGGGAGGGAAGGAGAGAAGAAGAGGAAGGGAAGGGATCAGGTTTTGGTTATGAGTTCTGTGACTGTCCCAGGTTTAGCTCCAGAGCTAAAGGTCTGCTCTCCAGGCTGACACCAAGGCCATGCCTAAGCTGCGCCTCACCACAGGTAAATCTGTTCAGTCCTTAAACCAAGAGTCAGCACCGAGCAAACAAGTCCATGTCTAATAAACCTGTAACCAGCAGCAAAAGGAAAGCTTTGAGTAAATCTCCACTCCTCTAAGTACAGTGGCACCAGCATTCCCATACATTAGGGCTGAGTTCTATTTACTTTGCCCCACTGCAACCTGCAAAGCCCTTCTCCTCCTCAGCAGCTGTGGAAATGTCCTGGTTAGTGAATAATCCCGACTGCACTTCTCAGCCCCCGGTTATTTTTCACACCGCAAGGCATTTGCCATCTCTTGACGCAGCACCTACACAAGGCAGGGAATATTGGATCTGCCTGCATTGTTCCTCATTCTTTTCCCTGCCTCGATTGCTTCCAGATGGCACCGCGCTACAATGGCTCCATTCATTCCTCCCTGGAAGGCCCAGAGGGTGGCAATGGACAACCTTCCCCCAGAGCCCTGGTTCCTGCAGGCGTGGAAGGGACCACATTCATCCTCATCACATTCATCCCCAGCCCTGACATGGGAATGTTTGCAAAGGGTAATAAAAACTCTTGTCAAGAGGTTACTGATGATACCCAAGTCAGTATTCCTTCTTCCAGGGACATGGGGAGAGTCATCTGGGATGTGGTACAATACTTCCAGGATATTGAAACCAAAACTCCAGCTCAGGTGACGTGGCACAGATGGGCCTCAAAAAGAAAGGCCATTCTGGGGAAGAAAACATCATCCCTCAGCTGACACATTTAACTACTGGATCAAAGGGAGGGGAGTCACACAGGGAAGGATGACAGAGGAGAATTTGAGAGGGGCTGAAGCAGTTAACAGTGCTTTCTGACACAGCAGGGCCTAAAAGGAACAAGGAACTGGTGCCAAACGTCCACATCCCCTGCTTTTCAATGATCTACTTTTCCTACTTTTTGAGATTTAAATAAAATGAAGGTAGCCACGTTTTTGACAAAAGCAGGAATAACAACAATCCTCTATGTACTTAAAACCTTTTCTTTTACTCCTTCCACTGGAATGTCTCAGGGGAGTTTGTAACTATGAACTTCTCAAGTGGTGAAGTACATTTCTACTTATTTTACTGAGGTGAAAATGGCAGCAAAGGACGGGTTTGGTTACTTGTCCAATAGGTCACAGAGGAAGTTTTTGTCAGAAGTAGAAAGAGTTCCTCAGCATTAACCTGGAGCCCTCAACATCAGTCACTGGATGTTCTTTGGGGTTTGGAGAGAAGAGGTGCCAGTACAGAAGTTTGGCCAACAGAGTCTGGAATCAAACAAGCCCTGACAAGCAGGTGCTGTTCAGGCAGCTGATGGGCCATGGGGAACTGCAGGAGCAAAGAACATCACACTTCAGTGGGATGTGCACTTCTTAATTTGAGAGACAAAAGCTTAACAATATCCAAAGGCTGGCAGTTGGCTCCTGAAAAAGTCCAACTGGAAACCAAGCGCGTCTCTCTGACCGCTTTGCACCACTGGCACGAGAACAAAGCTCCCCAGGCCAGCAAGGTAAAGCCATCAGACCAAAAAAGAACCCAGCTCAGGAAGTTGTGCCTCCTCAGGAGTGCTGGAAAAACCCTTTCCAACAGAATGCTGCCGAGATCCTGGAGGTGAGTTTGCAGCTTCAGAGAGGATTCAGCAGGAGGTGGGATAACGTGTGGCCCGGCTGTAAAATTGGGCAGCAGGGATACCACAGTGGCTGCACTGGGCAAAACTCCCCAGGGCTCAGCCCAGTCAACTCTTGTCAGTGCGGGAAACTGGAGCTTTGTCCTTGGGGGGTTTTTTAGTTTTTGGTTTTTTTTTTTTTTTTGCTGCTTGTGGAAATGTGAAACAGTTAACAACCTTGTTTCAATAATATGCAATTTGGAGGGAGGAAAAATTGGGGACCTAAGGAACCTGCCTTTTTTTCCTTCCCTTATTATAAAGTCATTTTTCAAATCACCTTTCTGACACATTTGTCCATATTGATTAGCTGCTTTCAGAATGACATTGTCTGACCTGTCTAAATCCATCAATTGCTCTCCTGCTGATGCTTCATTCCCAGGCTACTTTAGCTTCTAATGGTATGGTATGAATATTATTCATAAAGTCTTTTTGCTGAAAAGATCAATAATCACATACATCTTACGTTTGCATTCTGGGTGTTGTTCAAGAAGCCCTTTAACTGGCCACAGACTCCTCTATTTCCCTTTTATCACTGCAGACTGTAAATGTTTCATTAGTAGCATTTAGAGAGTACATACTTGATACTATATCCCCAGGAGTTTCAAGTGAGTTATTAGGAACTTGTTCAGCATTAGGATTAATGCATATTCCCAGTAGCTTTCATTGCATTTCCATTCCATGTGCCACAAACTCTACTGTTAAATATGTTTTGTCCACTTAGGAACTGTTTGGTAGGGAAGGCATTGCCTTAATTGTTCCCAAGACATTGGGTAATGCTCTGCTGATGGGCCTAAGGTTGAACTAATAGGCAAGTAAGATGCAGTTTAGCTTCAGCAGGTTTTAAAGTACTAATGAGGCACAATATAATGAAGTTAAGAACTTGTCAAGACAGGCAGTTCATATAAAAAGTTGAAACAACCTTTACTTTTTTTTTTTTTGCTTAAAAAAAAAAAATCCAAGATTATCCCAACGCTGAGGGGATTTATTCAAGTTAAATATTTTCTAGATTATTAGAATTTTTAGGAAAGGCTTTTTAGAACTTGATGCCCTAGTTGAGCAAGGGGCAAAATGTATCTGTCTGACTATCAGTAGGTCAAACATGCTTGTAAAATACAGAGGTTTTAGTTTGCAGAAAGGGTGAGTTGGCTTTTGTGTATTCCAATCTGCTTTTTATGCAACTGCTTGTCTATATTTAGCAGCTTGGCAGGCTGGGAAATTTTAGAGCCCTAAAAGACCAAATACTGACTAGTCACCATTTTAACTTTATGGCACTTTCCTGGAAGAACAAAAATGCAACATTCTAGGTATTTTAGTAACTACAGGATTGATTGGAACTTCATTGGATTTTAACTACTGCGTGCCAGGCTGTTGTGCTCGGCGACAGAAAATATTTCATTTTCATTTTCTGACATAAAAGCCTAAGTGTCCTGCTGCTGAGACGTATCAATCAAAGCAGGGGCTCCGATGGAATCTTATCCTGATGCTGGGATGAGAGGGAAAACGAGGCTTTAGTTCCCAGTCAATCGGTACCAAATGTCTTCCCAGGCACTAACAGGCTCCTGCACATCCTCGAGCAGAGCCATTACCTCAGGGTTCATAAAGTGGAACACAGCACTCCTCACAAGGCTGGGGATTTTTTTTTTTTCTTGAGAACATAAAAATGTTGCTTGCATTGAAAAGGGAAGATTCCAACTCGCTTTGAGAAGGTTCATTTCCAGGCAGGCGTTGCAGACAATTAAAGCCCAAGTGTTCTGTGGACAGTGCTGTCTCACAGATGTTGGGAGAAGGGTTAGAATCTGCCCAAATTCTTTTTTTTTATTTTTATGGAAAGCACTGGAGAGCTGCAGAAGTGGGTGGGGACACTGTAGCCATCACATTAAGTCTGAGGGGTTTTTTGTGACCACCTCTCTGGCCAGGAGGCTCATGATTACTGTGGATAAGTGAAATGAAGTATTCCCTGCACTTGAAAAGCTCTAACAATTGTAATGCTGAGGAATGAACAGAAATGTTTAATTAATAAACATCCTGGCTTATATTACACCTACACCTTAACTGGGCTTTTTCTTTCTAACTGAGCTGCACATGGATCTGTAGTGCCAGGCTTTACAAATTTAATACCAGTGGACAGGACATCCCCCAGGCACCACTTCCAGTGGAGCACAGATACTTTTCTTCCATGAGAGCTATTCAGTCAAATTTCCTCAGTCAGCTGAAATATTCAAATGAAAGTTGCTGCTGCAATTACAGAAAAACAGAAGTTTGGGGTTGGTTGTTTTTTTTCTGTGTCTTGCCTGTAGTAAAAGAATAAAAAGATGACTGAACTGCTTAAACAATAGAAGAAGAAAGTATGACCTGCAGGGAGAAACCCAGGCTGGGGGAAAAAGGAATGGGAAAAAAAGAGTCCAAAAGATGAAGTGCTCAGGCTCCAGGCCACTCTGCTGCTGATTTCCAACCACTTGGTGTGGGAATGAGAATTTCCCAAAAGGCCTCTATCGCTCAACCAACCCAAATTTGACTTTTTGCTCCTCTCAGTACCAGAATCCTTCAATCCCACAGTGTAGCCAGGCAAAGGCTCCATTTCACAGGAATGTGGCATCTTCTTGAGTGACTGTCCCAGTACAGGAGAAAAGGTGCCTTTTGCACCTGCAAGCCACAGAAACCATTTCTGCACATGCTTTTGATGCTTCTCCTGGCCCACTGCCAGCTCCACCCCCTCCCTGCAATGCACCCAGTGCCTAAATTTTCCTGACCCAGAGATCTGAGCCTGGGCAAAACCTAATCAGTGAATATTTGCTAAATTTTGATGGTTAAGAATTGCTTCTTAACAAGTTGCCCTTCTCTAAGGGAGATGTGAGTCAGAAACCCAAAGAGGCACAAACGAGCCTCCAGAATTGGCCCCTGGCTGTTGCTATCAAGAATATTTGGTACCACCAACCCGGGAAACATTTCCCTCCCACACACAGTTACACCTCAGCACTTTGCTTTTGCTGACCCTTCCTCTGCAGCTGCTCCTCCTCTAAGTCAGTTTGAAAGTGCTGCTGTGCTGGGCTTAACCCTGACCCAAAGGACAAAAATCCCCGTCCTGCCAGGAATGCTGCAGCTTTTGTGCTGGTTAACACTCACTCCTTCCTCTGCCCACCACATCATGGGGTTTTTCTGGATAAAGCAGCGAGGAAGAGAGGGAGAAATCCAAGGAAAGGAATTGCTCTGCAGGCTTGCTGCAATACAATTTATGATGCTTCCTGAGTAAGGCTTCCTTTAATATAATTGTTGAGATTTTCACAGTAATATCCCTTTTTTTTGCTAAGTGAGGTAGATAATATTGACAATGCTGCCAAGTAATTACACCAGCAAAGCAAATCCATGGCATTGTGCCCCTACAATTCCTCCTCTGGCTGCCCAGCATGCAGCTCAGCAAGCAGGGATACAGGCCACTGACAGTAGAAGAAACTGCTTTATTTCTTAATTGTGAAGCTGCAGGTTCCAGAAATGCCCCTCACACTTGCAGCGCTTCCCAAATAAATAATTGAGGGCTTCATAGCTCAGCAGTGTCACCACAAGAGCACAGAATGCAGAGGGGAACAGGCACTTGGTGACACTTGGGGCAGTGTGTGGGCACCAAGCTTTGGTCACCTGGTTCCTTCCCTCACCAACCATTTGATCAGAGCAGAGGCTCAATTAGTTGTGGGAACTTGCTCTATGGCTGATGAAAAGGAGCTCATAAAAACACTTGAGCCAAACTTACATTTTTCTCCCAAATTGATGCCTATGATTTGGTGACATTCAGGGTGACAATAGAAAAAGCTCTGGAAGTGAGTAAACAGCAGCCATCTCCTGCATAAGCTCATGCTTTAGGGAAAGGTTGTAAACTCCAGCTCTCACAAAGTCCTCACCAGCACAGGAGCATGGAAGCCTTTTTTCTTATGCATAGGGACTGACTCAAGAGTTTTCTTCAGCTGGGAATTTAATTGCTCCCAATTTTCTAACATAAATTACATTATAATTTACTCTGGTTAAGAAAAGGTAAGGATTTTTTACCGTTTACTTTGCTAGGAAAAAAAAGTTACAGTTAAAATTGCAGCTATCTGCCCAGCTACTCTCTACCACTCTTCTAAAGGAAGATTAAAAACAAACAGCCAAGATATCCCAAAAAAATCAAAACTCCAAGGATTTCATTTTCAGCAACGGGCTGAGCTGTGCAATTCCTACAAAACTCATCATCACTGACCTCAGGACACCTCTGATGACATTCCACATTTTCCTACGGCAACCACCTGTGCTGTATTCTGATTTATATGTGGAGAGTTTGGAATCGGTCCACTGTAACTGACCACTTCAATTATTGGGCCCTTACTTATTTGAATTATTAGTTCAGATTAATTGAAGAAGTTTGTGCCCAAGCCAGTGCTGCTCTTTTAGCCCCAGAGAACCTGAGCCAAATAGTAACATTCTTCAGAGTAACTGAGATGAAATTTTGGCTCACCGTCTTTAATTTTTATTTTTAAAAGTTGTAAATATTGCGTTAACTGGGTTATATTATAGACGGTGATCTCTTTAATTTCCACTCTTTTTATGGTCTGTTTTTTGGTACAACAGTTGCTGCCTTTTCACTCCCAGCAAATCGAGCCCCAGAATTTAAAGTGAGATCCGTGTATAACTATATATACATATATGTATATATGTGCTATAAAAACCACAGCACAAATATCTGCATATGCTGCGTGCTTTAAACACATTAATCTACGGCTCTGAAAATATCCAGTATGTGAGCATTCTACTTTTAGGTCCATGGTATTTCAAATGGCTAAGGCTGGCTTTTTGCATCGCACAGGAGGCTTTTTTTCTGTCGCAAAAATAATAACTGTAAATCTGTTTTCTCATGCCCAAGTAGTCCTTGATGAGACACGTAAGGAAACGCCGTGTGGATTGTCATGAGCGGAGCAATAATCATAAAATTAGAAACAAAAGAATGAGACAGAACAAAGCCCTTTTTTTTTTTTTTTTAAAAAGATTCTAAATCACACACAAAACATTTGTTCTGCTCCAGCTCTTTGTGAACTAATTGGCTCTCCTGGAGGGACAGGTAATTGTACTTGACTACACAAGCTGTCCTGAAGCTCCCTTGGAAAGCTCCAGTAAGCTTCCAGTGTTAGCAGCCATCAAGGATTTCACAGGTCAGGCAGCGGATCGATATAGCTAAAAGCAGCAGGGACTGCAATGTCGACAGCAGGTTTCAGAAAACGCTGCAAGTGCCAGTTTGTTCCCCTTCATGCAGAAGCTCAAGACAGCTTAATTAACCCTTGGAAAATACAATTTATCCAGAGGCTCTGCGGGTCTGTACTGGGCCTTATTGGTGAGCTGATAGCGGAGATAGTGTAGCTGGCAGCTCTGAATTCCCATTTCCCCCTCGTGTGCTGTGGCAGTCGGGATGCAAACAAAGCCTGGCTTTGGGAGGATGTTGCCCTGTCCTGAGGAGCTGCTCCAGCAGCCCAGGGAAGCAGCTGCTTTGTTAGAAGCTGGTGAGTGCAGCAGGAGCCCGGCCCGGCAGAGCATTGATCACTCAAGGCCTGGGCTCTGTGTGTGTGTGTGTGTGTGTGCAGGGAAAAAAGAGAGAGGGGGAAAGAGTCATCTCCCACAGGTCTAAATGCTTCTTTGCCCTCTTGTAAAGATGTTCCCTTGTTAGTTGTCTACTTTTACTGTCTTTTAATACCACACGGCCATGAAAAGTACAGACAAGGTAATTTTCCACATCCCAAAACACCTACATTTTAGAAGACAAAGAACTTGCCAGGGGTGACAGACCAGTAAGAAGTGAACTTGTCTGATGTGATATTCAAATTTGTGTCTCCAATGTCAGGCCAACAGGCTGAAGGGTTTTTCCTTCCACAGCTCTTTTCAAGCTAAGGAAATCTTCTAAGACATGCACGGAACAACTAAGAAAGAAAAAATATTCGAGTCGCTGAGGCTTGGCAATTTTCACATAGAAATCTGCCTGTGAATTCAGGTCAATTATTTATACTATTAACTATTTTAAAATATTAACTATATTTCCATTAGTTTTTAATGGGTATTATTTCGATTAAAGCATGGAAATGTATCTTGCTCAGTTTATATTTACTTCCCCTAATGAATGAAAACCTGCCCCTCTTGTTTGGGAGCAGTGAACTTTCCCTGAAGGAAGCCAGGCAGACACCACTTCCTTTCCACTGCTTTGTTACTGGTTCTGATGGTGAATTGAGGAACATTAGGCAGATAAAATCAAATCAGAAGTTTGATTTGTATGTGTGTGCACACAGATCATTGCATACACTCACACATACACTTGCAGACTTGTGACATTACCTGGGCAGCTCTGAATCCACATTTTCATCTTCAATAACCACTCAAGGCACAGGAATTTATGATGAAAATGCTGAACAACAAGCAATGAGGATTCTAAAAAAGCAAAAGCAGGCCAGACTGCTTTTGTATCAACACACTCAGAAAAATGGCACACAAAAAGCCCTTGACAGAATTATTTAATGTATTTATGTCACTGTCCCCCTATCCAAGGAACTAGATATTAATTTTTCAGGATAGCTTGTAGGAGACACTCTGCCAGAGGGAGAGGAAGATGCTGCTTGAAGGTCTGCAAGCAAAGGGTGATGACAGACACTTGACACATTCCAACCTGGGGTTTTCCCACCTACTGGGGAGCCAGGAGGGTCTGAGACGGGTCCATCTCACATTTGTATTAATGACAGGCAAGAAAAAATAAACATTATGGATAAGGAACTTGGACTTCCCCCTGGAAAGGGCAGTTTCACACAAGCAAAACCATCTTCAGAACAAGCACATTGCACTCTCCACGAGAGAAGAGGGTTTTGCAGATGAATTGGCAACAAAAAAAGACATAAGTAGGTGACAGAAAAGAAGTTTTATGGACACCAACTGCAAGTCTGTCTCCAGAATCTGAGAAAACATCCTACTGCTTTCGAAGCCTTTCCTTCCAGTTTGGACTCCGACCAGAACACGCTTGGAAAGACCACAGAATCCAGCTGGCTATCCAAGATGGGTGACATCAGGAAGGATAAAAGAAGCATTGCTAAACATGTTATCCCAGTTCTTAGGAAAGCTTGAAACTGGACTGAGATATGTGAAAGAAAGATTTATGATTACTGCTCAAATATCATCAAATAAGTGAAGATTTCTGACTCCAGAGTATGTCCATGGAAAGGTGCTGAGGTGCTCAGGGATGAAAAGAACTTTCTTTTTCTCTTTCTACCTCTGTTTCTGTTTTTCCTGTCACATTATCTTTTTATCTATGCTGCCTTTTTACTTTTGTTTTTACAGTTTTGGGGTTGAGATTGTTTTGCAATATTTACCACTGCAAGGACCTGTGCCACAACACAGCCACTTCTGACCAGCTGTGGGGTGTGTGACAACAATCACAACATTTGTAGTAAATGCCACAATATTCTTTTGTGCTTCTACAGGAGGTACAGACCCTCAAGGAGAGCCCTGCTCTGACATATTCCAAGCAGTGCTATTCATTAGACTCTGTAAGAGCAAAATCCAAATCTGACACACCTCCAAAATTCCATTTTAATAATATCAACAAAGAGCTTTTACAGTCCCACAATACAATTTAAAAACTAAATCCTCCTGTTAATTATCAGGGAGTGCAGGCTCTCCGAGGTTGAGTACCTATTTCTGTTGAAAGGTCGACACTAAGAGCTCTAAAATCCACACACTTGCTCAAATTGCCTTGAAATTTGGTGTGCTCCTGGGGATCCCAGGCAAGGTTACACTCACAGCCTTAGGGGCACGTTTGCCTGGGCTTTTCAAGATATGCCTGAAAAAACAGCTTTTCCCGAGTGATAAAATGCTGATAAACTGGTTTTACTATTCTTGCATATCCTTAGTGGGTCAAACTACAGTTTTATACAATGTTTAGATGTTCTTAACATTCAGCATTGGGCACCCTGAGGTCAGTGTCTAATTCCCAGTCCTGAGAGATTACAGAACATATCAGGATTCTGAAATCAAGAGTGGCTTCCACCTTACTGACCAGCTTTAAACTGACTTGGAGGGTACAAGAGGATGTATAAAATTAACCTGCTCTATGCCTGGTGGCAGTTTTCCTTTAAACCTGCACAGGAATTCTGAAAACCAACTGTGTTGGTATTGTCAGTGATGCAAAAACCTTTGACAACAAAGACATATTTTATCATGTGGGATAAATACGTTGAAATATTTTTTAAAAAGCAAGTTACACACATGAATTCTTGCTTTGAAGGCCAGGGAAACTAATGAGGGAAGGTCACAAGACTGCAAAGAACATGAGGAGATAAAGGAGGAAGGGGATGAACACCTCTAATGCTCTTTTTCTGCTCTGTTAAATGTGTTTCAGAGGCTCCTCCACAGCTGGTTCAGGTCCTGGGGAAACCCTGTTCCTCTGGAAAGAAAGGATGGGTGTCCAAAAGCATGTTCTATCCACAGGAAAGGAGTAGAATTTTAAATCTGTGAAAACCAGGATATCCAAAAGAAGTTAGCTGCCTTTTCTCTCTAGGGTGGGTTGGCCAGACCTCACAGATGACTTGGATAAAGACCCAGGGAAAAAGGCAACAGCAGTGGGCTAATAAAAAGTCATCAGGTTCCAAAAAAAAAGGGATTTATTACCTTATTTCTAAAGGGATATTGGCTCAATGAGACAAGAGGAAGGGCCTGGAAATTGTGACTGGGGAGACTCAATGTTTTTAGGAAAGTTACAGAAGACAGACTCCCTCGCTAGTTTTATACGGCATATTTAAAATTCCTGTAGCCATCCCACAATAAAAAAACACCAACACCACCCAAATGTTGGGCAATGTGTCATATTTGTGATTTCTCTGTTAGTAAGCAGGAATTTCTGATTACACAAAGCATCTGCTTGCTGATGGCGTTGTGAGGAAAATATGGTGGAGTTGATGACCAGACGCTGAGTTATTTCCCTGCAACAAGTTGCTGAGGGGCTGTCTCGGCTCATCAGGGGGAAAGAGACTTGAGCTTTAATGTTGTCTAAGCTCAAAAAGTCTTAAACTCCTGCCTGTCCCTGTGTATATCAAAAGAAGACTTCATTTGTGCTCCCTGCAATGGGATCAGTTTGTTGGAATTGGCAGTTTGAAGAGTCACAGGCCCCTCCTTTCCCACCTTTACGTGCCTGTAATGCTACCACACAAAAAAAAACCCCTCAAAACCAGTTTGTACATTCTTATATATGTGAAATAGGATGTCTGTGTATCTGCTTTAATCAGTAAAAAGTTCTGAATAGTGGTTTAAAAGATCCCCAAACTGTCAGTGTGGTCAGGCTGAATTAACTTAGAATTTCAGGTGAAAACAGGACTTGAAGAGAAAGTACCCCAGAAGGAATTTTCCCAGAGGAAACTTTGCCAGCACCAAAAATGGGTCAGTTGAGTTTGTGCTTGTACAATGTTTAGTCTAAGAACTCTTGATATGGGTATCACTTATTGCAAGTGTGACTTTTTCTGTCACTGTTCCAGAGAACAGTGAAAATCATTATATAACCTTTTGGATTTGTCCTAATTAGATTTTTAATATTTCATTCATGTATTTCCCTGATGTATCACATAAAAATCATGCAAACTAAAAGCTTACCAAGCCATAAATTCACTCCTTTCAAGTTTTGTCTTTTTTAAGTTCAGTGTCTTAACTCCTCTAACCTTTCATCACCATCATCCACACAAGGCCAAATGATTCTGGAAAGCCAAAAGGCATCAGGAAGGTCACCAGAGCCATGAAAACTGTCTGCCATTGCTCTATCCCAGAATGGGGAGACACAGAGGAAGGGCACAGAATAAACATGGATTCAGGTCAGGAAAAATCACCCTCCTGCTCCTCTTGCTGCCAGAGAGAGAGAGAGAAGAGAGTCTTGCTACTCCTGAAAGGAACTTTTAGACTCCCTTTGCAGCAGTTTAGGAGACCTGGCCTGAACACTCCATGAGAACTAATTTGCTTTTCCAACTAGCCAAAATACACCAATGACCAGCCACAGCCCTGAGAAGGGTCATGGTTGGTGATTTTACACAGAGCAAAGGGATTTTTCCAGAAGAAAGGTTGTAGTTGAAGGGGATGGAGTCCAGGACTTCAAAATGAAGCACCATTCAAATGCACAGAGTCAGGATTGGAAACACAGGATCTTTCCAGTTCTTCCTGCTCATAAAAGCAGGACCTAAATGGTGGGAAAGGAGGAGAGGCTGCTATGCAGCCACCTGGGTGATGCTCCAGCTATTTCTGTCAGCATCGGTGGGACACAGAAACATTCATTAAATATTAAAAATACTGAAAACTATTTTCTCTCTTATTTTAACACAAAGAAGTTCTCCTCAGGCACTTCACTGCAGCTGGGTGGCTCAGGCAGTCTGTGTCTGAAGGGTGAAAGAAGGAAAAATAACACAAATGGGATGATGAGCAGTCAGCCCCTGACACGAAGGCTGGAGAAGTCACCAACACATTCCTGCACAGCCACAACAGCTCACAGAGCCACAAGTCTCTGCTAACACCGAAATTTGGTGCTCTAGGTAACTACCCACAGGGGAAGTTAGTCCCAGTTTTCCCTTCAGAGGTGGTGTGGCTCCATTCCCTGAGCTTTTTAAAGGCCGGCCCTGGGAAACAAGCATATGGAAGAGGGTTTTTTGCCTTGCTAGGAAGAACACAAGGACCATATGGTTAGAAAGGGACAGGCTTCAGCTTTTCTGTCAGCGTGAGGACTGTGCACACTGCAGCACAGAGTAAAGCTTCTGAAAGCTGTGGGAGAAAATGGTTAGTGTAAGCTATTAACTTGGTAATTTTCTGCATGTGCTGGGCAAGGATCCTGGGAAATAGCAGGACTCTCTCTGCGGTCACGGGGACTGTAAAGCAACCCTCAACAACTGTTTAGAGAGGAACCTGGTTTAAATCTTGAAAGCCTGGAATCACTTTATTTAGTCAGCAGTGGGGCAAAAGATGATTTAGAAATAGCTTCCTGGTGCGTCTGGAAATACATCTGTAGTTCATCAGAGAATGGAACAAACGCGGCGTGTTCCGATGCAGGAATGGGGTGTCTGGATGATGTGTTCATTACAGGTACAAATTAGGAAGCTCCTTTGGGAAGATCAGGCTGTTCTGAAGGTCACTGGCAGGTCAGGTTTACTCCAAAGCAGCTTCTTTTTACAGAACCTGGAACTAACACACTTGTATAGGCTGGGCTTTCGTTCAGCTGAGTTTACGTTGGTGTTTTGCTTTCTAATTTCAGAAGAGCCCCAAAGTCAGGCTTTACTTTTGTGTCTCTACAACATTTAAGGACTTCACGCTGCAGTGCCACCCCTGGGCAGAGCTGCCCCTGCCACTGCTGTCACTCTGCTCCTCAGGGGAGGCTCTGAGCCTGAGCCCTGTTTCACTGCAGCTCTGCTCCAGCA